TGGACGGCAGCCTCTGCACAGGAGCAGGAGGAGGGCTGAGTTGTGCCGCTGGCTCCCCGGCCATGCAGGCTGGGCTGCTGCTCGGGGCTGCCTGTTCCGTGCTTCTGCTTCTGCCACCCGGGGTGCCGGGCCGAGGCCCCTCTGAGAGGACACAGCCCGGGCCCTTTGCTGCCGAGAGGTAGGGGCCGCTGGGTAGGGTGACAAGGGGAGTGCCTGCACAGGAGCAGGAGGAGGGCTGAGTTGTGCCGCTGGCTCCCCGGCCATGCAGGCTGGGCTGCTGCTCGGGGCTGCCTGTTCCGTGCTTCTGCTTCTGCCACCCGGGGTGCCGGGCCGAGGCCCCTCTGAGAGGACACAGCCCGGGCCCTTTGCTGCCGAGAGGTAGGGGCCGCTGGGTAGGGTGACAAGGGGAGTGCACTTAGATCTCATGGGCCAGGGGGGACCAGAGACCTGGCAGGCTGGGGGCCACCCTGCACCCCAAGTCTGTGCCCTTCAGGACACTGGGTCACCATGAGGACCCTGGGTCCCGACAAGGTGGAGAGCATGCACAATGCTCATGGTGCCGGGGCTGGGAACTCAGGGGCCGTGGCAGGGTCCTGGCATGTGGCCATGACTGTGGGGTGCTTTCCATAGCTCCTGCCACCTGTCCCAGCCTGCATGCTCCCTAGGCAGCTGGCACCTGCCACTTGACTGGCCTGCCTGCCCCTGCAGCCTGGTGTGAGGAGCAGGAGCACTGGCCCCAGGGGTGGGCGAGGGACCGGGCTGCCACTGTCCCCTCCCTGATGGGTCCAGAGAAAGGACCCTTGGGCCAGGGACGCTGCTCTGTGCTCACAGCCCCGTGTCCAGGACACCCCGTATGTGACACAGGTCGCTCTCAGCCCGGTCCATCCCTCTGTCCCCTGTGTCAGGCACACAAGCACAGTGGCAGAGTGGCAGCTTCCTCGGCCTCTAGCCCATGGCTGGACAGCTCCTGCCGGCTGTGGTGTGGTGCGGGGCTCTGGGTCTAGTCCATCTCTGTGGTCCCCCAACGCCCTGGCTATCTGTTCCCAGGAGCCCCCAGTGCTGTTTGTCTCTGCAGGCGCCGCCTGGGCCCCCACGTCTGCCTCTCGAGCTTCGGAAGTGGCTGCTGCCCTGGCTGGATGCCCTCTGTGGGCAGCGGGCACTGCACCCTGCGTAAGTGTGCATGGGCTGCCGACCCGGTGCGGGCAGATGGTCCAGAGCCAGCCCTCACCCGGGTCTCTCCCCAGCCCTCTGCTCCTTTGGCTGTGGGAGTGGCATCTGCATCGCACCCAATGTCTGCTCCTGCCAGGATGGGGAGCGAGGGGCCACCTGCCCAGGTAACGGGGCTGAGGAGTGCCGAGCTGGCCCTTCTCGCCCATCGTGCAGATGGGGAGGTCCAGGCCCTGCCTCGCCCCTGAGTCGCAGGGCTAGGAGGGGCAGGACTGGGCTGGACCCTCCCAGCATGACTGGGGACACGTGGGGCAGGGGCTGGTTCACCCTTAGGGCTCACTGGTGCCACACCTGCCTAGATGCCCACGGACCCTGTGGGGAATACGGCTGTGACCTGGCCTGCAACCACGGCGGGTGTCAGGAGGTGGCCCGAGTGTGCCCCACGGGCTTCTGGATGACAGAGACGGCTGTGGGAGTCCAGTGCACAGGTGGGAGCTGGGCCGGGGGTGGGAGACCCACTCCTGCCTGCACAGGGCCAGCTGAGTGGGGCGAGTTGTGGTGTCCTGTGCCGGCAGCGTGCAAACAGAGGGCCGGGTCACTCACCGCCAGGCTGTCACAAATATTTACCAAGGGGCTGGCACTGCTGTTGTGGAGCTTCTGGATATGGGGACAGGGACAAAGACCAGGATGGCCCAATGTCATGAGACTGATACTGGGGAAGTGTGGGGTACAGGGGCCATGGCGGTGAGCAGGGAGCCTCTTTGGAAAGTGGCCTTTAAAACAGGAGGAAAACAAAACTCAGTAAGAGTTTTTTGTTTTTGTTTTTGTTTTTTTTGAGACAGAATTTTGCTGTGTAGCACAGGCTGGCCTAGAACTCATGGTGATCCTCCTGCCTCAGCCTCCTGAGTGCAAAGATTACAGGCATGTGCCACCACACTCAGCTCAATAATTATTTTGTAAAATTATTATTTATTTAGAATTTTATTTGTTGAGTACTAGAGTTGAATCCCTGTCCTTGAACTGAGCTACATTCCCAGCCCTTTTTCATTTTTTGTTTTTGAGACAGAGTCAGTAACTTTCCCAGTTTGGGCTCAGATGTGCGATCCTCCTGCCTTAGCCTCCTAGAGTCCTAGAATTACAGGAATGTGCCATGTCTGGCTGTGACTTTTTTTTTTTTTTCGGTACTGGGGATTGAACTCAGGTCCTTGTGTTTGCAAGGCAAGCAGTGGAACCACTGAACTAAATCCCTGGCCCTGGCTGTGATTTTTTAAAAGTTAGGCAAAGCGTGTTACCTTTCCCCAGAGGTAGCCTCAACAACTAATTTCTTGACAGCTTTTTCAGAGCAATGAAACCTTTCTTGGAGTTTCTTTTTTTCTGAGCTACATGGAGGTCCTTTATATATTTTAGTTTTCATTTTGAGACAGGTTCTTGGAAAATTCTCGGGCTTGGCCTACCAACTTGTAATCCTTCTGCCTCAGCCTCCCAAGGAACTGGGCTTACAGGTGTACACCACTGCACCTGGTCTTTTTTGGAGCTTTAACTTTGTTAAAAGCAACATTTTCCTCTGAACAGAACATGTGCTTTTAAAATTAGGATCATAAGGGGGCCGGGGATTTAGCTCAGCGGTTCGGTGGCCTGCCTTGCAAGCGCAAGAACCTGAGTTCAATCCCGGTAACAAAAAAAAAAAAGGAATCATAAGCTGGACAAAAACCTATAATCACTCAAGAAACTGAGACAGGAGGATGTTCTCAAGTTCAAGACCAGCCTGGGCTATATAAGTGAGTTCAAGGCCAGTCTGAACAGCATAGTTGAGACCCTGTCTCAAAACAAAAGAATTGGGATCCTAGTTGGCCATGGTCCACAGCAGGGGGTGGGGGTAGGTTGGGTGGGTTAGCTGTTAGAAATTGTAGATGGCTTGCAAATGTGGTGGTGCACACCTGTAATCCCAGCACTAGGGAGGCTGAGGCAGGAGGATTGTAAATTTGAGCCCAGCCTGGGCAATTTAGTAAGGCTTTCCTGGTGCCTTTCTGGGGTGAGAGTGCAGCTCCTTGGCCATCTCAGGGCCGGCTGTACAAGGGTTTTCTCTTCCCAGATATTGATGAGTGTCTGAGCCCCTCCTGCGAAGGCCACTGCGTGAACACGGAAGGTGGGTTTGTGTGCGAGTGTGGGCCCGGCCTGCAGCTGGCTGCCGACCGCCACAGCTGCCAAGGTGAGCAGGCAGAGGCGGGAGGTCCTGGGCCATCCCACTGCTGCAGATGGCCAGTAGCACAGTAAGAAGAGTCAGGGCTTGGAAGGCACTGGGTGAGGGTGAGGTACATGGGAGAGCTCAGCTAGGCAGTGCCGAGGTGAGGCTGGCACAGCCCCAGCAGGCCTGCCTGGAGGCCGGATCGCGCGGGGTCTCGGGCTGGCCCAGGCCTTGATTGGGGTGCGGCAGGGACGCCGGCCTTGTCCCGCCCGCAGACACGGATGAGTGCCTGCAGTCGCCCTGCCAGCAGAGGTGCAGGAACAGCGTGGGCAGCTACAAGTGCTCCTGCCGAGCCGGCTTCCACCTCCACGGCAACCGGCACTCCTGCGTGGGTGAGCCGGCCGGGCACTGTGACCGTCCCAGGGCACCCTGCACCCGGAGGGTGGGCCCCTAGGAACGGCCTCGGCTCCGGGCGGGAGGAAGGGGCTCCCCAGCAGCACCAGGCAGCCAGGCTCGCCCGCAGACGTGAACGAGTGTCGGAGGCCGCAGGAAAGGCGAGTCTGCCACCATTCCTGCCACAACACGGTGGGCAGCTTCCTGTGCACCTGCCGACCCGGCTTCAGGCTGAGAGCCGACCACACGTCCTGCGAAGGTGAGGCCCGGCCCCGCCCCGCCCTCTCAGCCTGGCCCTTCCTCCTTGGCCCCAGGCCCCGCGCCTCCTGCCGCAGGCCCACCCCCAGGCAGGCCCTCTTCCTGCCCCCCCCCTTTTTTTTTTTCAGTTTTTGGTATTTATTTCCTTGCCTGTGGCCTGGGTCTGCGGCCCTTGGCAGTGGCGGCCACCCGTGCCCACCCGCCGGAAGCGGCTCTGTCTTCTCACTTGTGCTGGACCACCGGCCATCCTGCTCCAGGGATGCCACAGCCGGGACGCGGGGGTGGGGCTGGGTCCCGGCGGGGCTGGGGTTAGGGTTAGTGAGGGTTAGTGTGTGGCCACGGAGGGGAAGCCGGTGAACCCCGCTCAGCCACTCCTCTGCAGCCCTGTGTTCCGTGTCTTCTGGAGTGAACGCTGTCTGTTGAGCATTCCCAGCGCTTCCCCCGATCCCCAGTGAGTTAGCACTGGTAGAGGGTAGAGTCCAGGACCCACGCCTGCCTCTTTCCCCTGGTTGCTTCTTTCAAAGGCCCTCTGCTTCTCTTGCAGCTGTCCCCAAGGCGCTGTGGGGGCCCTCGGCCATCCTGCAGCCCAGGCCCCCGGGGATGGTGCTTCTGCTTCTGGAGCCCGGCCGGCCAGGCCTGTCCCCGGCACATAGCCCCCCTCCTGCTCCCCCACACCCCCTGGACACGGTCAGGACCACCCACCCTCCAGCCCCTGTGTGGCATCCGTCCACCCCAGTGGCCACCCCGGTGCCTGTTGTCACTCAGCTGGGGACCCTTGGACCCCCCTCCCTTCTCCAAGGGGAGGCGCTGGGCACCCCTTCCTCCTCCCATGGCCCCGAGGACCTGAGCCCACCTCCAGGGCGCTCTCCCTGCCGGCACTTGGGAGCCGTGCATGCATCAGGGAGCCGCTGGGCCAAGCCGGGGTGCAGGCAGTGCTGGTGTGAGGTGGGTGTTCTGGTCCCGCAGCCCGTGGCAGTGTCTCTGATCTGGAGGTGGCTGCAGTGCCCGCTTTGCTTCCAGGACGGGGAGGTGACCTGCGGAGAGGTGAGGTGTGAGGCCACTTGCTCCCACCCGGCACCCCCGCAGGATGGGGGGTGCTGCCCCTCCTGCTCAGGTGAGAGCTGGCTGGGGAGTGGGCTTGTGTGTGCATGTGTGTGTGTGTGTGCGTGAGTGCCTGTGTGTGCGCGTCTGTCTGTATGTTACATGCATACCTGTGTGTGCGCGTATGCCTGTGTGTGTCTCTATGTATGTTACATGCATACCTGTGTGTGCACGTATGCCTGTGTGTGCGTGTGTCTGTATGTATGTTACATGCATACCTGTGTGTGCACGTATGCCTGTGTGTGCGTGTCTGTATGTATGTTACATGCATACCTGTGTGTGCATGTATGCCTGTGTGTGCGTGTGTCTGTATGTGTGTTACATGCATACCTGTGTGCGCGTATGCCTGTGTGTGCGTGTGTCTCTATGTGTTACATGCATACCTGTGTGCGCGCGTATGCCTGTGTGCACGCGTGCGTGTAGCAGCCCTCCTCTCTCCTCCCGGAGTCCCCCCCTTCACATCACCAGGCGGGCAGCCCCATGTTCTGGGCCGTGCCCCAGACCCTGGTTTTTATTTTTGGTACCGGGGATCTAACTCAGGACCTTGCCCTTCCGAGGCAGGTGATGGCAGCAGTGAGCTACATCCTCGGTCCCCTGCTGTATCTTTTGACCACTTGTATACGCTGTCGTAACCCTCACTCTTTGTTCGTTCATTCATTCTGCGAGTCTCCCCAAATCCACGCTGCTGCTCCCCCAGGGTTCTACCCTGCAGTCGGCCCCTAGCTTGCTTTGCCCCTGCTTGCTAGTACTAGGAGGGAGCGTAGTTCCTCCCTGCCCCTTCTGCCCGGGCACCCGGTTCTGCTCTGCGCATGCCCACTGAGGCCCATGTGACACAAGGGCCCTGCAGTAGGGACCCGGGGGTGACAGGACAGATGCTTCTGTGGCAGGGGGAGCACTTGCTAGCTCAGGCCAGCTCTGGTTCCATCCTTAGCACTGTAAAAACAAAGCAAAACAACACAGAAACCAAAAAACTCTTGTTAAGGTTTAACCCGGAAAGGCTTTATTGATTTTTCTCCACAAGAATTGTACGTTTTTGGGCCAGGGATTTGTCTCAGTGGTTCCACTGCCTGCCTCAAAAGCGCAAGGGCCCGAGTTCAATCCCCCGTACCAAAAA